AATACAAAGAAACAAAATAATATGTGTTTAGTTACTATTTTACTACATATGAAATGGAACAGATCTTATGCAATCAAACTTGGTAAATATACATGCAATTTTAGTGCCATATGAATAATTATGAGAACAATTTATCTAATAGAAAATTATTCTTTTAAAAAAACACAAAATTTCAAAATATAGATGATTTGAAATTTTTTTCAACTTAGAAATGTATACCTACCTATATAAAAATGTATTGAATAGTAAATATTAACAAGGAGGGTGTTTGCATTCTATTCCTTATTTCTGCACATTAAAAATCATAAAAAATACAATTTTGTCTGCACATATCATTTGACAACATAAGAAAACTAAATTTTCTATACATATAATTACATAACATAGCATAAACTATTTTTTTCTGTACATATAATATCCTAAAAACTCTTTTTCCACACAGATGAACATAAAATCTAATAAACCATGTATTCTGCACATAAAATATCATAAAATTAAATTTGATTTGCAAATAAAATTTCTGCCCTCTTGCCAGTATGAATGAAGGTCCAATTAACTTCAAATAATATATAATAATAATAGAAAATAATAATAGACAACTATGGGAAATATTTTTAACAATTATTGTCATCTCAAGAGTATTTGTATGAACAAAAACATTCAAATTCAATCAATTTTTTTCATGTAAACCAAACCAGTGTTAAATTAAATTCACAGCTAGGTGTGTTAACAGGAGGTTACAAATGTGAACAGATTCCTGTGAAAGAAAATGTCAACAACTGGTTTGTAGTGGACCACACAATGCAAGCGTCCACCCCCAGACCCCCCTAATCCACACTTGGCTATTCAGGAAAAGTTTGAATTTATTTTAAATCTGACTTTTTAGAATGTTTTTTTTTTTTTTTGGTAAGATTTCATTTCATCAAATATTTATGAAAAAGTTTATACTTTTAGTTTGTGTTATTATGAATATACAGGACCTAAGATTAAAAACGGGTCAAAAGAAATAAAAACACAATGTGGACCACACAATGCAAGCGTCCACCCCCAGACCCCCCTAATCCACACTTGGCTATTCAGGAAAAGTTTGATTTTATTTTAAATCTGACTTTTTAGAATGTTTTTTTTTTTTTGGTAAGATTTCATTTCATCAAATATTTATGAAAAAGTTTATACTTTTAGTTTGTGTTATTATGAATATACAGGACCTAAGATCAAAAACGGGTCAAGAGAAATAAAAACACAAGTGCAGAACACAATCAGTGAGCCCCAGCTCCTCAAAGATGGTAAGTGCCTAGAAAGTGGGGTCACAGGAAGTGACAATGTCTATGCTCTAATTTAAAATTTAAAGTGTTCTAGATAAGATAAAGATTATCATATAAAAAGCACTCCAATTTATGGTATGTGGTTACACGGCCCCCTAGGGTATTCTGATCCACAAGGTGGCGAACCAGCTAATTAGTGCAATAATCATACATATATATCATTGTCAAATGTAATGAATGCAATTATTGGGTTTCAAGGAGCTCCTAATTTTGACTCCAAGATGTACTTAGTCCCTCAGAATCCAGTGAGTCCCTCCAATGATCATGTACTTGGTCTTCTGAATTAGACATTCTGCAGGTTTAAATTGTAAAAAAAATACATTTTAGATCAGAGTATTTAATACAGTAACATGTGTTTAGTCTGTTTATAACTTAATTTTGATGATTTATTTTACTATTATAGAATTCTATAAGCAGCACAGCAATAGTTACAGGGTACACAATTTTAGATTGCAGCCTACATGAAAAAGTTTTGGATAGAGCATTAATATTTAACTTTTCATATTTTATTTTAACGCTTGAATTTTTTATTTCTTTTTTAAGTGTTAATAATTTATTTTAAGTAAAGATTTATATTCACTTTAAACACTGAAAGTTATTCAAAATTTTAAAAAGTGGAGCAAACTTCAGCTGTTGAGATGTTTTATCTCTTGACAATAATGGTTGGTGCTGGTTGATCAATTCTTGGATCTAACCATGAGAGGTGCTGTGTCATCCAATATGGGTAGTTGCTGTATATGATTTAAGCTTATTCTATAGTTGAATCTAGAAATAATTTTAAAGCAATTAAAATTTCAGGATATTAATAAAGGTTTCAAATAAACAGCATGAAATATATGTATAACATTTTCTGTTTAAATATGTTAAAAATTTAAGATGAACTAACATGGTACACTCTAGTCGATGTACAAAATTAGAGCTGCTGATTTGACAAATGTTAATACTGGGCACACCCTATCCTTATCTGATCATATTAATTTAAAAAAATAAAATTAATTCACAATTTATGTGTTTTATTTTGTTTAAATTGTTTTTTTAGGGTCTCCACATTATTTGATTGCTACACCTTTAAAACCAGGAAAGTTAAAAACTAAATTTTTTAGAAAGATTATAATATAGTGTTAGGCCTAAAAGCCACTTCAATAAAGCATACATTTTCTTATTTAAGCAATTGAAAGGTAATCTTGATGTTGTCAGAAAGCTAAATGCTGGCCCTTTCTTATAGTATGTTTTTTGTGCATGTTAGATGTATTTGAAATTTTGAGTTTGAGTACCAGTAATGGTAGCTAATTAAAATTTAAAAGCATACTGATATTGTAATGAAAATAAAATACTAGAATCTGCTAAATAACTGTAGATTAAGATTCTTTATTGATTTATATTCTGGCATCATATAATTTATAAAGTCATTAAATTTTAAGTTGCCAATTTTGAGTTGCCTCGATGCACTTCATACATACGAATTAATCAAATTAATTCTTTGAATCTGTCTTCAAACTCGTGTTGTATAATCCACTAGCAATATTAAATGCCTTATCTACACACAAATATCATCCCTCAGACAAACACTTTTATTTAATACTAGCCCATGACTGGCAAGACCAAACCTAACAATAAAGAAAAAACCAAAGTGACTGACACTACCGTCTGTTTAAAAAAAGCTAACCATGTCTATAGAAGACGTCTGCTTGTACTTGTCCGGACACTTTTTCCATTTCTAGGTGATAAGATGAACAAGGGCGAAAACATCTGCTTCTTTGGATGGTTGCAGTGCCCTATAGGCTTGAATTGTAAACATAGCTTCTTCTTTTATTAACTATTGGAAGAAAATAAAAAGATTACACTTCAAAATAATATTTTTTACAAGAATTTATATATTTGAAAAGCTGTTGTGCTCATAGGCGGTTAGGGCGGTGTGCTCATCGGCGGTTAGGGTGGTGTGCTTCCTCAGAAATAATGTTTAAAAGAAATGACTTCTTAGTTTTGTCTCAACAATCTGTGCAGTGAAATGGAAGGATTTCTGGCATACAGTTCAGTTAAAGATTTGGCTCAAAGGATAGGAGTTGCCCCATTTTATTGATTTGGCCAAAGACGTTTGACTTCTTCTTATACATTTTTTTTTAGCTACAGCAAATATTCATGAAACAAACATCTTGAATCAATTGTTCAGAAATTTAAAATGTCCAATTAACAAAATCTTCATACATAACCAACAAAATTTTTTTAGATAAGTTTTAAAATGCCAAAACAATTACCAACGAATTTTCACAAAAATTTTTAATGTGTCAATTTAAATCGAGAAAGATAAAAAGCCTTGGCAAATACAACCTCTCCATAAATGTAAAGAGGGAATGTGTAACGTTCATTCAATAGCTTGAAAAATAAAATTCCCCAAAAGTGCACCAGACAGCTTTCACAGATGTGTTCAGAGTGCAACAGTCACCATCAGATATTATACTTAAAAGGTTATTCTCTTAGTAAATATATCTTGTATCTGATTATTTTAACTCATTCCTTTTTGTATTTAATAAAAATTTAAAAAACAATTACATAGCGTAATTCATACTTTTTTCTATTAAAAAAAAAACAACAACATATTATTATTATTAATATTAGGTGGTTTTATATAGCGCAGTACCCCAGCTACGGTCAAGGCTCACTATTGGCGAAAAAATTGACCGCACCCACCCAAGAAATATCTACCCCTGTCTAGCCATGGACAGTACCCAGCAGAATCGAGCATTGTTTATCAGTCAGGGGGGGGGGGGGGGGGTGTGTGTTTGAGAATGAGTTGTTATAGTACAGTTTGAAGAGATGGGTCTTGATGGCAGTTTTGAAGGGCTGTGATGGTTGTTATATTGCGGATGTGTAATGGGAGAGAATTCCATTGTTTGGGGCACAGAAAGAGAAAGATCGTTCAACATATGTTTTAGTGTGTGTTCTGGGAACAGAAAGAATTAACGTGTCTGCAGAGGAACAAAGCTTTCGAGTGGTGAATAGGCAGTAAGATGTTCAGTAAGATAGGAAGGGCAGGAACCAGAGAAAAAAATGTGACAGACAACAGAATACTTGTAATCAATACGTACCTGTATAGGGAGCCAATGAAGGGAATGGAGTAGTGGAGTGACGTGGTCACGTTTCTTTGCCTTTAGAACTAACCTAGCAGCTGAGTTATAAACTTTCTGCAGTTTTTCTATGAAATGTTTTGGTGAACCTGACAGAAGAGAGTTACAATAGTCAAGATGAGAGAGAACAAGAGCACACACAGATTAGTGTTTTTGTTACGCTAACTGTGAGGTAGTGGCAGATGCAGCTGATCAGACAGATAGCAATGTACACAGAGCAACAGTTGTAAGAAATATTGGTACTGAGAGACATGTCAGAAAGAATGTAACCAAGATTCCTACCATTATAAAATTGAGTTATACCCCATTGTTTATGCAGGTGGGTAAATTAGGCAAGAATTTGTTAATTCAATTTATTTTCACCTGTAGTCATGAAATATCCATAATATCTTGAATAGAAACAGTTCAGGTATTTACTAAGTTATATGAAAAGTTGAAATTAAAATTTAATAATATTTAATAAAAAATAATGTTTTGATTATAAGCAATAAATAGCATATGCATTTTATTAAATGTATTAAACTGAGTCAAAGAAAAAACCCATAGCTACCTTGTGAGCCAACAAGGCCTGGACCACCTGATTGGCTATCTCATCAAGACATTTCTCATACCACTGCCGTTGCTGTTCATTCTCCAACATGAGGGAGCTGCCCTCTGCCTCCACCATCTTTACTCTCTCCAGGGAAAGTTTAGTCTCAACTCGGACCTGCAAGATAAAACAAAAACGATGAGGGCTGTAGACTGGCATCATCAAATATTTATTAAAATCTTAATAGAAGTGATAACGTCATAAACAGTTTTTGTGAGAGATATCAACAGTCTGACAAGAGTCTGACACACAACAAACTTGTTGAAATAAAACTGGCTATTTTAAGATGTATGCTGATGGTGGGCTCTGGAGGTTTGTGCAGATGTGTTGTTTTTAAAGATGGTAAATAAAATATTTTATGAAAACATTTCTTGACCAACATTTTACTTACTGTGTATTATATATAATGATATAAATTATAAAATCAATATCAAATTAAAATGCATTACGATTATGTTATGTGAACAATTTATTTGGCGTCTGGTGTGATTGTTTTTTTTTGGGGGGTTTTGGGAAAACTTAACAAAAATAATTGATAAATATATTTTTAATAAATATTTCTTGCTTTCAGCCAATACATCCCAGAATGCCATCTCACATGCTTCAATCTTCTTTATTTGATTTTTCAGCATCATGTTGTCTCTCTCTAGCATGCTGAGTACTTTTGAAGATTATTCTATGGTTGAATAGAATTAAAAGAGAACAATGAGATCAGTTTAAAACCAAATTTCTATGGAAAAAAAGCGAGGAACAGCACAAAGTAGAGAGGCAAATATAATTAGCATAATTACAATACTAGGATCCTAATCTGGAAACTCTTAATGAGTGATATCCTTTCCATCTAAAGGTCCTATACATTCAGAGGTGTAGAAGGCTGGAAGGGGGGAGGGGGGGTGTTGTCCTGCCCTTGGCAGCATTCTTTGTCAATTTGTCAAGTGCAACAAAAATAAAGAAATTTTAAATATTAAAAGGCGCAAGGCATAACTTTATTTGACCATCAATTACTACTCATTGTAATGAGATAGTGGAACTATAAATTCAGTGTATTTAAGTTTAGTCTTTTATTCTGTCCCAGTTAATTAGAAATGTTGAGGGGAACAAAAGGAGCGAAGTAGAGCAAAAAAATACTAGCCACTAATTGGAGCAATAGTCATCAACAGGTGAAATTCGATAGATATTTTCTTTTGATGACACTGGATGACATGAAATAACAAGAGTAATGTGACAGCTGGATTAATATAGGACTACATTAAAACAACAATAGTTTGCTTTAGCCTTCATCAGGCCGCAAAAGATGCAGTTAAAATGTATTAGGAGTACCAAAAATTAGAAATACAACTTCCAGAAGTAAGAACCAAGGAGAGGCAGCCATTTTATGAAATTAACTTTAAATCCACCCATTGTGATTTTTGGCAAATAATTATATGAAAATTTTTATTTATTAATGTATTTTCAATAAATCTCTATCATATTTTCATTCAAATTTCAATTATTTGATTTTATGCCGCTCCTTGGGATCTGTTACCCAAAAGACATGGTTTCGTTTGGAGGGCCGTCTTTACAGAGACCCTAGGCACAGTAATGTACAGAGGCCCCAAACCCAATATTTACTCAAAAGGGTCACAGCCCCCTGGCACCAATAGTGCCTTAACAGTGATTTAAAAATAAAATCCCATGTACTTAACATAGACAGGGGCCGCAAAATTTTTACTTCTGCGCCCTGGGCACAGTTTTTCCTGGGAAAGGGTGCCTGTAGCCTACTATTCAAGTAATGTTATGAAAAGCATTATGGGTTAGGTTTGCCTATGTGTTTTGACCAGTTCCAGGAAATTTTTCAGCTGGGGTAGCATTTCAGTCATTGGGGGGGGGGGGGGTTTTTTTCAGCACTGAAATTAGATAATTGATGCCCAGGGCCAGCTCTGACTTCGTCACCACTGCCAAATATAACCATAAATTCACTCTGGTAGTGGAGCTCCCTGAGGGTATGCTTTGAGCCCCAGCTAAGTTTTGTCCTTTGAATCTTTATAGTCCAACTACATATACCAACCTAAAAAAAAATCATAATTTTGTTCATTCAAAAAAACCCATTGTATTTACTTTTATCCAGCGCTTTTCTTTAAACATTAAAATGAGTCGGTGCTGTCCCTTTAATTAGGGAGGGACAAGAAATCAAGGTCACCGAATGAAACTAGGGGTAAGGTTTGTAGAAAGGTTTCATTAAGCCCCTCCCTCCTCAGATCATTTTTAGATACAATTTAAAATTTAAGGTTTTCCCAAAATTTTCATTTACAGCAAATGAGAAAACATGCTATTTTTTGGAAAAGGTCTATAGATTTTTGTATGGTTATTTTATTTAGAACAGGCTGTTTTTAAATAAATTGTATCTAATGGTATAAAAAAGAATGAAATATTTTCAAAAGAGGTCATACAATTATTACTATGTAATTTATCCGAGGGAAAATAAGACAGCATGAATTTCCTAACAAATGCTAAAGCAGTAACTAAGTAACTTAAAAAGTGTATTTGGAATTTCTTACTACTATAACTTTCTTCATTTAAATTACTAAATAATGAGCTAATGTATGAGTATGACACCTTGTGTAAGACTCTTTGACTTTGATGTACTCCTCCCCCCAAGAAAATAATTAAGGAATTTTTTTACAAATTAATTAATTAGAAAAATTTAACAAAAGAAACTTTTTCTAAAGCTAGTCTAGTTCCAAAAAATTTATGACATGAGAATCAAACAGCTTTTTAAAATAAACAGGAGAAAACACTTGTCTTCCTGCTTTCATTTTGAAAGAAAAATAAATTGTCAAAAATAGGTAAATTTGGAGAGATGTTGCCACATGGCCGCCATCTTGGTTGACAGTTAATTCTGTCACTAAACTAAACCTAACCTGAACCCCAAGTTATGTATCCCTCAACCTAACCTGAACCCTAATTTACTGCAACCTTACTATAATAAACACTAAAATGACGTCATCTCTCCAAATTACCCAAAAAGATTTCAAAATTCGGTAATAACTTATTGGCAGCATTTTGACCGTAGACCGTAGAAGTGTGAGACGCCCTAGAGGCGTGAGGTTCCCTAGAGTCTAGAGTAGGGTGACCGAACGTCCCCGTAAGGACGGAATTGTCCCTTTTTTCACGATCCTACCCGTTGCCCCGAAAAAGTCTCTCGGGACGCCTAAATGTCCCGGTTTTTTAAACCAAACACACTTTCAAATCACTAAAACTTCCTAATTTATAATACATCTTAAAGTAATATTTTGGCTAGCTGTGTAGCCAGTGCCAGTAGTGATGTGGATGGCAGCACTGTTCCCCCTCCACCAGTGTCCCTGCCATAGATCTTGTATGTAATTGTATAGCGAAAGACACGAGACTTGAAGTGGGAAGGGGGGGGGGGGGGGGGTGTAACTGCGCGCAGAAAACCATTTTGATTTCGCTACCGCTACGTGTTAGTCTTATGTGTGATCCCTGCCGGGCTGTTCGTGTCAGAGTGACAGGTGTTTGTTTTGGGTGTTGAGCTTTATTCTTCAATTTTATATTATCTTCTCATGTAGACAATAAGTATGACAATGCAAGTTTATGAAGGCGAAGGAGTATTTCAAAGAGTGCAACTATATTAAAAAGGGACACTATGATAGTGAATCTAAGCGCACAGTTTGCAATAATGTTTTTAGTATTGGTATCCCCCCCAAGGCCGTCATTGAAAGTGTCCAGTTTATTCAAGTTCAAGATTTGGTCACCCTAGTCTAGAAGAGTAGCAAGTAGAGGCATGCCCCCTTGTGAGACTCTGGCCAAGTACGTAGTTCTCCACTAATTTTACTATTAAGTACGGAGCAGTGGCGTAGCTATGGTTATGATCGTCCGGGGTCAACTTCTTTTTTAACATGATTATAAATACAAATTCGGTATACCTACAAATTCTTACTAATGGGACCCGGGTACGAATGGCGGCTGGAACCCAGGTGCGAATGGCGGCGCTGCGTGTCCGGGGCCATTTTTTACTAAATGCTATTCGGATGTCATTTATGGTGATTTATTTTAGTTAAACTGAAAAAGTAAGTTAACAAACATATAGTCCATTCAATTATCTTTCATTTGATACCTCATTTTGTGTTACAAACCCAACAATAATATTTTAAATAGTTTTTTAATCCCAACCTATCACTTCTGGTACCCAGGGGGTGAATAGTCGCAGCCTTATTTGTTTGGATTATAATTGGGTGAAGAAAAACTTGATGACGAGAGTTATTCCCCTTAAGAAGTATAAATTTGTAATTCGCATTTATAATTTTAATTTTGGAATGTGCCTATATCTTTGGTTAAATTCTAAATCTTTCAATATGCATTATTAATATATGAAGCATGATGCACTGAGTATTTGTATAAATACAAGAGGATTATGGCGCCTAAATTTGGTTGCTCTCCGATTAATTGTAGAAGTGTACAATAATTTAAAAATGCATCCCTGCCCCTGCATGTTGAGTTTATAAAAAATAATTTTAAATCCCAATCTCTCTCCCTCCCCGCCCCCGACCTTTTTTTTTTTTTCTTCGCTCGTGAGCTACAGGCCGCCTCAATTTCTGCTTTCCCTTAAAAAATTCAAAACTCCCATCAATCTGACACTATGAATACGAAACTAAGATGTGACCAAAAGAATGCACTGGGGCGTGCCACAAGTGGAATGAATTCAGGTCGTGTATGGCACTAGCTGCCATATTGCCTGATAATGCCCTACTCCCACCCAGACTCTCTAAAACGTCCCCTCCCTAGATCAATTTTCTGAAAGACTGATTGAATCTTGGTATACACCAAAATGTAGGCCTACAAACAATTTGCTGGGCAGGGCCCAGACTACTCCCCACTTTCGATTGGGGGGCCGTTGGTCCCCTCTTTTCCGTCCTACCCCCCCCCCCCCCAAGGTCCGCCCTTTTTTTTCCTCCACAAAAAAGGCATCTTTTTATCTACAACAAAAAACAACACTTAGTAGGGACCAAAGCATATTCTAGGGCAACGGTTCCCAACCTCTGGAGGGACCACTTGGGGGTACATACATTATTTATTGATAAACGCAGAAAATAGAAGGAGTAATGTATGTACACCTC